CCCCAAAACCCCAAAACCCCAAAACCCCTATCTGAGCAAGCATCATTGAAGCATATTTTATTACGGAAAGAGTACGGATGTACTAAACCTCGATGGAAAATACTTCAACATTTTCAATAGACCAGCCTGTCGGAGAACCAGCCAAGAACGTTTCAGGAGTGTTGTACTCTTCATAATTTTTGACAATATCTTGAGGAAAATCGTAGACAATACCAAGATGGCTATAGCTTTTTGAAAGCCGCCTAAAACTAATAAATAGGTCGCTCCTGTTAGACTGACCGAACCCAGGGCTGTACTTTGCTTCATTATTTTTTACAGCATAAGAAGCCATTTCTGGTTTAACTTTTCAGATTATTGGCTCTCTCCCTGTTGGAATTGCATATGAAAATAGGAATGCATATTCAGACCCTGAATAATTATTAATCGCGTCGAATCCTTGTGGTGAAACACCTCCGAAGATGCAGCCATCCTTGGTCTTTACCAAAAGGAGAATGGGGCCCTTCTTATCTCAGTGCTGATGGAATTCCTCTGCTGAAATATCATCGCTCTCTTCTATCATTTTCCCCCAAAGCGGTGTTATCTTTTCATAGTTATTTTCAATCAAAATTTTATCAACAAAGCGAGATTTCTCTTCCTTCGATTTAAGTATCTGAGACAGCTTTAACGAGTTGACCATGGAGTCTTGTTTAGACAGACTCAGCTGTGTGTTGTCCTCTAACAAAGGGACTGAGTTCTCGAATATTACTCCTGTCATCGATTGGAGCATCTCCCTTAAATCATCTTTTCACCGTTCTTCGGCAAGATTGCTCAGATAGTTATTAATATCAATATTGGGCATTTTGTATAACACCGTATTGTAGAGAGAAATCAACCGGTTATTTAAAGAAGTTGAACTTGTACTCAAAATTATTGCTGTCCCTCTGACAGCTTTGGATACAAGCACTCAATCTGTTGATCAACTCTGCAGAGTCATTACTTTCATGCTTGTTCGAGTTAATCAGAACTTCAGGATCTTGGTTCAGAATGTTCTTAGATATCTCACATGCTAACTTCTTATATTTCTGGATGATAGTATACCTTCAGCTTTCGACGAGATTATCAAACTCCTTTTGGAAAGATTCGATTTCTTTTTCAGATTTGACTAATTCTTTATTCATCAGATCTTTCAGCATGGTAATGTTGTCTTCCTGCAGATCTTTCTCCAGAAGCCCTTCCTTAAGAGTCAGATTGGAATCACTCTGCATAGAAATATGAGGGAGGTTAGCCTTCTTTAGCTTCGAAAATGAACTTCATTGTGAATTCTGGCTGTTATTTCCTGGAGGGAGGAAGCAGAATCTTCACACTCCTGGTCTTTGCTTCTCTATTTTTATTATTATATGGTGTTGCTGTAGATGTTCTGTCCTCTTTTATTACCCTCTTTTGCTTAGAATCATCATACCTCTCATTTATCTTACTCCCAGTATCTGAGACAGGATATCCTTCATTAGTTGAAAAATTTTTGAAACTTGAAAACGATTTCAAATTGATCTTCGGCTGACTTGCTTTAACATCTTTGGGTTTTTCACAAGTTGAATGGAGCGGTGGGAGATCGTTCTTACTATCCTTCTTCTTTGAAAACTTGCTGCAACTTCTTTCTAATTTATCTAAAACATTAGCATCTAAAGGATCATCCAGACAATAACTAAATAGCAATGGTGAACTTTGCAACCAAATAGCACATTTTGGAGATTTTCCAATATCTTGTGATAAATTATCAAAAATTTAGACATGGCAATGAACATCTTGGTTTATTTTTCTGGTCATAAAATACTAACTTTAGGAAAATCTCAATGGAATCTAGCGCTCTCCCATTGGTGTGCAGAAGAAGTCTAGTAGCAAAATAAAGTTAGTAACAAGCGTAAAAAGTTTCCTATATTGAGAATTACCGTAGAGATAAAAAAATTAAAAAGACCAAATACTCTGCTGATAAGTTGAAAATAGATGAACAGGATTTTGGGTGTGGACTTGTTTGGGTTTTTGGTATCTGGCAAGTAGTATTCTCAGAGATTTTTTAATAATAAGTACAGAAACCTTAAAAATCGTAAAAGTTATGAAATATTTATACTAAGCCTAGCATATATTCTCTAATAAAATAATGAACATCTGGCCATCTAGAGGCGATAATAAAGTATGCTAAAGCATTCAGCTATGAAACAAGTTAATGTATCAGAACTACAATAATTAGCATTATTGATACTCTTTGACACTAATTGGAGAATACTTCCTAACTTATAGTTTTGAATAATACCTGACATGTTTATTTTAAAGTAAAGCATCCTTAATAAGGCATATGGCCAGAGCCAATGGGAGCATTGTATTAGGAAAGGAAGCAGCCTTGTAGCCTCGATTTTAGAATCCTCAACCAGAGCTCTGCACTATTTGGTTTAACCACAGAGAAATTTTATTTCAACCATCCAAATTTGCCAAATTTTGTAAAACTTCTAGACCAAAACCTACCATTTTTAACTTTAAAGGCAGGACTAGGAAAATTCTGATCAGTGTACCTAGCCAGCGGAGTCCCATACCTATTATCCCTCGGAGTGATGTCCTTTAGGCATAATTCTGATCCATGGTTTGACTCCAAATCAAGCCTTGACATAGCTTTGTTCCGATTCAAGAATGTGAGGTTTCCGTTCTTTTTACCTCTAGATAGAATCTTCTTCGACATTTGTCTTTTCTGAAGTATTTTTACTAAATCCTGATTGCCCTTTATTTTGTACTCCATCTTCATTAGTTTATAAATTCTATTATATTTCTACGATTATTTCAATACTTTAGATGAAACTGGGGTTTTGGGGTTTTGGGGTTTTGGGGTTTTGGGGTTTTGGGGTTTTGGGG